GGGGTAGTGGTGTTCCGGGGGTTTGCAAGGTCCAGTAGTGGGTACAGAGATGGGTTTGCAGGAGGGCTCTGGCGGGGAGGAGGGGGGCTGCGGGATTTGGGACAGGGCTCAGGCCCATATGCAGGAATTTCGGGGTGGGGCTTTTTTTGCTCTTAAAGCCGCCCAGGCGGCGGCTTTGCTCGGGTGTCCCTAGTCTGCTGGGGGGGTCCAGCGGCTTTGCTGGACCCCCCCAGCCGACCAGGGAGACCGGGAGAAGCTTTTCTCGCCCAGAGGACACCTGAGCTCCGGGGCGAGAAAAGCCCCATTCGTAAGTGCGGATCCGACATAAGTCGGGGACTGCCTATAGTCTGGGCCCATGTAGGCTGTGGTGTGCGAGGGGAATGCGAGGAGTGACTTTCTTCTTCTCGGGGGCCATATCATTGAAGTTGGTTCTTTTTGTGTCTTTTTGTTGTTGTTTGGTTTTTTGCTTCTCGCTTTTGTGCAGATCCTGACAGAATTTTTTTGTGGGTCAGCAGCCCCCAGCCCCAGAAAGGTTCTCCAACCCTGTGCTGGGGCATACAGTTATTGCATATGCTTGTAGAACCATTTGCTCTTTATTTAGGGTAAAACTTAACAATTTCCACCATGCCATTAATTGTGTCTCCCCTTCTGTTACATTTGCCCACAACAGTTTTCTTATTTCTAAAGGCAAATTTCCTTGGATACCTTCCCGGATTATTTGAATAATCAATTGCTGATTTATTTCCTGGGCCTTTGTACAGGCTAATCCTAGGGACACATTTTCTTGTATTGATCCCGTAGTTCCTGCTAACAGTAACATTTCCTTTTCCTCCTGTGATTGACATACTGGCAATATTCTAGAAAATAATTGTTGTCCCATCCCTAATTTTGATAAGCATGCACTGACAGGCTTTTCCACCTCTTGTATTTCAGCCGTGCTTGTTTGCCAGTACCTCTATATTGGCATCTAGTATTCCAGCTCCTAATGCAGTTCCACCCAAAATGATTTCCAATTCACGCCTTGGGGTTCTTTTTCTTATGGGTTTGACATTATACCATAATTCTAGCCATGCTGCCCACCCCTAATGGAATGTACATATGGGGCACAATGAGCACCTTGGGCACAATTAACCCAGTAAGGTCCTGCTCACTTTGATTTAGAGATCATATTGGTGACATAATGGCTTGCTCTCTCTGATCCAGTTTTATTGCATGTGGTGCATTTAATGGGTGTCGTCTTGATTTTTTTCAAGGGCTCCCCCCGAGCCAAATTAACTCCTCTGGGAACCTGGGGTTTGTAGATTTTGTGGGGCCCCTAAGCTCTGGGGTGGGAACAACATTAAGGGGCTCAATATGTGGGAGGGGGCTTTATCAGGGGCAGCAAGGGGTGGGACCAGGAGCCTGTGCTGGGGGTAGCCAGTTCAAAAGCTGGTTCCCCTAGCACCATCTCTGCAGGGGACAGAGAGGCAGCGATGCAGTGGGAGACCTGCACCTCTGCTTTTTCAATGTAGTTAGAGCCCTCAGCATCTGGGACCCCACGTGAGCTAGGACTTGGTTCCCTGGATCGTACCTGGCCCCAGACCACTGCAGCTCTGCCTTTTGAATGTGGTAAAAGCTTGGTAGCTGTTACTTATGCTGACAGTGCATCCTGAAAAATCCATGACAGTCCCGATTTTTAATTTCCTGTCCTGGTGGTGTACTTAAAGTATTGCATGGGATCTTTTAGGGAGGAAAGTCAAAATGACACACACATCAATCAACACTTATCGTATGCTTATGATATGTCACACTTATGAACTCGCATACACACACAAGCACACTCCATCTTGTTGTTACCAGTAGTTGCTCCCCCTAACTGTACTGGCCAGGTGAGTTAGGTGGGGGAGGGGTGGAGCTGGGCTTCTGCTGATCCAGATTGGTGCTCCCATGTTGACAAGATGAAACCCAGAGTTCCCCTACAAGATGCCTTTGATTTATAGTGTTTTCCCTCTCCTGCAGATCTATACCAGTTACTCATCACATGCATATGCATCATCTGTGAGGGTCATCACAGGCATATGCAGTTAGACATCTGTGGCCCCTTCTTCTGGGCCTCAGTGCTGCCACACTCACCTTCAAAGAGGGTGCTTCCAAAAGCAGGTACTTGCTGCTGACTCACAAGGTGTCCATATGTCCAGTTTTCTTTCAGTGAGCCCATTTCACAGGGCCCATTGTTCTTCTCATTTTTCTTGGACCTGGCTTCCATCCCCTCTCCAACCATTGCAACTGCCTGGAGGGGCTTGTCTTCCATGACTTACCCATTCACATCGCATTCATTCAACAGGGCAATCAATTAAGCAGAAAGGGGATACAAAGACATTCTCTTTACCTTACTATTTTTAGGGACTATTCTATAAGATACAAAGTTTTAAAAGACTTAATACTGTTAGAGCAGAAACAGATGACCCAGGTGCGGATGGGGTAAACGGAGCTGCTTTATTGCCGACGCACATTTACCTCGGTCATTCAACACAACATCCGAGTGGCAGCAAACTGGCATTAGTCAGTCCCTTTTATTTATTTTAGTATGTTAATTCACATGACTATCGCTGCTTTTCCTAAAACTTTATTTAGTAATGTTAACTTCCATAAAATGAATATTAATAAGCAAATAATGAATACAATTATACCTTCCCCTAATTACAATTTACAGATTTTCAATTGAATTAGTAGGTTTCAGAGATTACAAGAAATGTAACCCAGAATAGTGATAGAAATGTAGCCGTGTTAGTCTGGGGTAGTTGAAGCAAAATGCAGGACAATGTAGCACTTTAAAGACTAACAAGATGGTTTATTAGATGATGAGCTTTCGTGGGCCAGACCCACTTCCTCAGATCAAATAGTGGAAGAAAATAGTCACAACCATATATACCAAAGGATACAATTAAAAAAAAGAACAAATATGAAAAGGACAAATCACATTGCAGAACAGAAGGGAGATGCGGGGTGTCATTCATGTTAAAATTCGACACTTTCCAACAAGGACTTAGTTCAAATGTTTGTTATCTCACCCATTACCAAGATAGTTTCCCCAATTATCACCTCTAATACCATTAACTCACAAACATCCCACTCTCCCTACCTCTAATATCATCAATTCACAGACACTTACCTTCCTTCCTCCCCCTCCCCCACCCCGCATCTCCCTTCTGTTCTGCAATGTGATTTGTCCTTTTCATATTTGTTCTTTTTTTTAATTGTATCCTTTGGTATATATGGTTGTGACTATTTTCTTCCACTATTTGATCTGAGGAAGTGGGTCTGGCCCACGAAAGCTCATCATCTAATAAACCATCTTGTTAGTCTTTAAAGTGCTACATTGTCCTGCATTTTGCTGTAACCCAGAAGATATTTTATACAGCGCCAATGAGGCTAAGCAAAAGACACAACGAAGTAGAGTAGCTGCCTGCTTATCTATTTTTCTAGGCTGCAAAAACAAAGGGAAAGAACACGTTCAAGGGTAATGCCTACTGTGGCTGTACTCCTTCCCACCATCCCAAATCCCTCTTCATTTTGCATATCCCAGCAAATACAATGATACATAGAAAACTTGTGAAAGGACTTAATACAAAATTAAAAACTTCAATGAGAGAATGATTAATACAAAGATGTATCTACTGCGCTGTCACTGAGAAGGACTAAAACGTTTCAACAAGCCCTGAGACTCCAAATGCAGCTGTCTTCTGCTGTTTCCCGTCCCCGTCCTTCCCTGGGGGAATTGGAGTCAGCAGGAGGGAATACCTGTTGGGAGTGCGGGAAAAAATGATTTGTGAGGGGATTAGCTGAGCTAGGGGAAGGTACCCGGGAACCTGGGCACGGGGCTCAACTGGGCTGCGGGGGAGGCACAGAAACCTGTGCACAGGGCTCAGCTGGCCTGTGGACTTGTATATGCACAGAGAATCAGTTCGGCTCAGCTTGGCTGTGGGGGGGAGGGGCAGTAACAGGGGGCCTAAAATGACCTCCACTGGTCCTGAAAAATCCTTCCTCCTGGCCACACACTGCACCCTCCCGATACTGCTCCCTTCCCCTGTCCAGACACTCTGCTCCCAGCCTGCTTCTGCACCCTACCTCCTACTCAGACCTTGTAACTTCTCCTCCTTCTGCACCCCACCCCATCCATCCCTATCCCATGTACTGGCAGCCCTGTCACACATACTGACCCTCATTTTTGTCCCCACCTTAGAACCTAAGGGTGTCTATAAAATACACTAGAAAAGAAAATCTGGCCTATGGGAAGCCCTGAACCTCAGTCCTCCCTGTTCCTTCCCCTCACCTAGGGGAGCATCAGAGGAGTGAAGAGTCTGAGTTGGGGGGCCGCATCAATGAGGTTGGGAGGAGTTTTTTGTTTCTCACTTGTGTGGTCCCTAGCTGATTTTTCTGTGGCTCAGAAAAGATTGCCTACCCTTGCCATAAATAGAGAAAACATTGAAACCTTTTGTTTGTGACATGAATTTATATTTTATTTTATTTTATTTAAAATGAAGTTTGATATAGGCATTTGCCCCTTTGAATCACAGGGATGCATCGTTTAAAGGGACAGCCGCCAAACAGCTGATCCACGGATTAGCTGTGTGGTAGCTGTCCCTTTGAACCACTCATCTCTGCGATTTGAAAGGGGCAGCAGTGGGGAGCCCAGGGGCAGCTGGAGACTCCCTAACTGACTTCAGGCTTCCTGGGAAATGCCGCAGGGAGCCCACGATCAGCTAGAGAGTCCTCTGCTGATCCCAGGCTCCATGGCTTTGAAATGCTGGGGACTCTAGTGCATTTCAAAGAAGGCACCCGTGAGCAGCCAGGAGTCAGCAAGACTTCCCGCTGGCCCTGGGCTGTACGCGGAGTTCCATTGACTAGTCGGCTAGTCAGTTAACCGCATTTTAACATCCTTAGTTAGGTCACACTGGCTCCCAGTCTCCTCCAAACAGCCCCTCTCCACAGCAAGTTGGATTCTTCACAGAGAGGCTGATCTTGACACTGGCACAGTCCCTGCTTGTGGGGCACCACATCCCTCACAGACAGTCTGCTCCAGACAAGAGCAATCCCTATCTGCCGCGGGCCATCTGTGAGGCTGGAGCAGCCCCCTGCCCTGACACCCGAGATCTGGTTCCTGAATTAATACAATTGCAGTATAGTTGCATGGGGCCTCCTATAGTACCCAAACCCATCCCTATTGGTAGAGGATGGTGGGAGTTCTTAAAGGGAGGGTGTCACATGATACTGTACTTCCAGTCATGTGTCTATCTTGACCCTGGAAGTGCTACCCTCCATGGGTGGGACTTACTGTGTCACGTGGGCAGGGCCTAAGGGGTCAGGGACATAACTAGCAATATCAGAGGTGTGGCTAATGTGTCCCTATTTTTGTGTCAGAAAATATGGTCACTGTATGGTCACAGCAGTCCCAGACCCAGCATGAATCCGGACTACTCAGTCCCAATTTATGCAGCCCCATGAGCTAACCCTCTTATCGACTAATTGAATAGTCAATGGTAATTCCATTGACTACTTGATTAGCTTATTAACTGCAAGGTTACATCCCTAACCTTGAAGAGCACAGTGAGAAAGTTGCCTTGTACTCCCACGCTGGTACATTTCACCCTGAGAAGGGAAATAAAACTTTTTCTCTGCCCCCAACTGTGCTTTGCATACTTGGCACATGGCTCATGCCCTGGTAACTGTTACCCCTTTGTCCCTTCTTGTGTAGGAGCAAAACCCCCACAAAGGGGCTGGCAGCATCTCCAACTGAACCAAACTCCAGCTCCTCCTCCCACCCCACACAGCGCCTGGCAGCGTTTCCCCGCTTAGCCAAACCCCAGCTCCTGACTCCCCCACCTGACTTTTCTCTCCAGCCCTCTTCTGCCTTACTCTGAAGTTACTTGACCCCCATCCTGGTCAGATAATTTCTGCCCCCTGCTCACACTTTGCCCATCCCACCGCTGTGATGTGCCTCGAACCTTTTTTTAATGCTTATAAAGCTATAAGCAGCCTCTGAATCCAAGTGTGTACAGCAGCTCTTACTGAGCATGCTCATTACACCCTCAGTAGTGCATTCTGACAAGCAGGTGCTCCTGTTGCTACAGCAGCAGCGCAGAGGAGGGGTTGACTCCTTTCCTCATGTTTGGCGGATCATAGGGGACTTTGAAGGTGAGGTGCATTTGCAGCCTTGCACCTCCCCTGTGTCCTGGCCTGGGGTTGTGACCTGTTGGGATGTGATAGTGTAGTCGATTAACTGGTAAGCAAAAGCAGCTGTCTGTTTGCAAGACACAACAGCTAGCGTCTCACCTAGTACACGCTACTTCTGACTCATAAGAGCCAGAACTCTACCACACAGCAAAGGTCTGGCCTTAAGGCAACACCGTTTACCATGTATTAATTAGTAACATAGGATTTAAAAAATCACAAAGGTCAGAGTTTTAGATATCGGCAACACTCCAAAAAATTCTGTTAAAAGAATCTTTTTCTTTCTGACCGTAAGCCATTAATGCAGGGGTGGGCAATAATTTTTGGTGGGGGGCCGCTCCAAGAATTTAAGTGGTCGAGGGCTGCACTGTTCCATGCTATTCATGGAGGAGGTGCAGGGGTCTGGGAAGGAGGTTGGGTGCAGAAGGGAGCTTAGAGTAAGGGATGGTATGGCATCCGGGAGGGAGTTTGGGCGAAGTAAGGGATCATGACCTGGGGCAGGAGTGCAGGAGGGGTGCAGGGATCTGGGCTGTGACCAGGAACAGAGGTATGATGTACACGCCGCCATGCTTTATGAAATAGACGTATGGACATGAGTGTATAGAACCCAAAGATGCTCTTTGAGCAAATTATTTCATGTACCCCATCAATCTTCATGTCGTGATCCACTGGTATTGTTTATCTTATTTGGTGTATGTATCACTCTTGTGTGTGAAATTAGACACATGGAGTAGGGAATACTTCATGTTTTTTGAAATGTGTAAATGGAAGGCCATCAAGTGGGGCCTCAGAGTCCGGACAATCATATGCAAATAGCCTTTTCTCCTTAAGGCTCAGCAGTGGTTGGTGGGCAGTGGCCAGGTGACTCCCCATACCATAAGGCAGTGGCCTCCAACTGTTTTAAGCACAAGATCACTTTTTGAATGTAAATGCCCTTCCCCCTTCTCCAAGGCCCTGCCCCTGCTCACTCCATCCTCCATCCTTCTTCCCCCATTCTCACTCACTTTCACCAGCCTGGAGCAGAGGGTTGGGGTGCAGGCTCTGGTCTTAAGGGATTTGTAGTACTAGAGAGGGCTTGAGCTGAGCTTGGGGCAGGCAGTTGGAGTGCAGGAGGGGTTCTAGGTGCAGGCTCTGGGAGAGTGTTTGGATGCAGGGGTGCTCCAGCTGAGCTCTGTTTACCTCAGCTCTTGGGTGGTGGTGCAGTGGGGCTAAGGCAGATTCACTCTTGTCCTGGCCCTGCACCACTCCCAAAAGCAGCCAGCAAACTCTCCCCGGCCCAAGTGTTGTTGTGCCCCCTCTCTGCTTTGTGGAGACAGGATACAAAGCAGAAGAAAGGGGAGCACCTTGGTATCAGCACCTCTCTTCTCCCTCCCATGCGCTGCACAGAAAGCAGGAGGCTCCTGAGAGGCCAGCTCTAAGGCAAAGGGCAGGAGTTGCACAGCAGTGAGGGGGAGGGAAGAAGGTACAGCTGAAGCACCCGCACTTGACAGCCTCTTGGCCAAACCAGTCAGGATCACCTGTCAGAGGCCCCAAGGTCTACCAGTAGATCCTGATTGACTGCTTGGTGACCACTGCCATAAAGGAATCCTTCAAAAGAGATAGAAAAGTAGAGTCTTGGCCTTTGGCTGGGCAGAAGGAGCTGAAGACCACAGGGTGGGGAGGCAGCTCTGGTTTGGAAGGGCAGCTGGACAAGAGGTTTTAGGGGGTGTTTGAGGTGTCAGTGTAGAATTCGCCAAGCGTTTTTGTTTCTTTTAATTAGTGATCTATTTTGCTCTGCCTGTTTTCACTTATTACCACTTAAAAGTACAAGCAGTAGGATTTAACATCACTTGTATTTCCTATCAATCCCAGTGTAAGTAATTGTCGCCTGCAGGGCAACCAGTGTGCGCATTCCCCCTTTCACTGCTAAAGGGGGGCTTACTTAAATTATTCCTTTGGGGTTCGATCCCATTTGGGGAGTGACATTCCAGTTAGCTGGGCCCAAAACTGCACTCTCCTTGGACCTGAAAAGGGTCATTGTCTGTACTGCTCAGGGAGACAGGGATCTCCGCTTGGGGCCTTGGCTGGGGGAGACCAGCAGAGCTGGCCCAGCAGGACTGGGCAGTGAGGAGCCCCAGAGAGCAGGAAGGCGAGTGGTAGTGGCTGTGGCAGCAATCTTGGGAGGCACCCCCAAGGGGTCTTCTGTGACCTCACCCCGTCACAAGTGGATTGGGGTGCAAGGTCTGAGAAGGGGTTGTGACCCGAGGGGGGGGCGTAGGAGGGGATGCAGTGTATGGGAAGGTGTATGGAGGCTGGAACAGAGGTTCAGATTTGGGTTACATGGGGATAGAAGAGTGAAGGGGGCAGAGGGTTGGGGAGGGAGGGGCTGTCTCCCAGCCAGCAGCCCAGCAGGTTCTTTAGCCAGGGTCCCTCCCTCCCATCCCTGTCTATGCTCAAGAGATCTGCAGGAGCCATGTTTATTGCTCTGAACTGAATACTGTGAGCCTGGGGGATGAGGGACGTGGGGCACTTCACATTTTTGGAAACAGGCAGTTGCTATTGGTCGAAACTGGGGTGAAGGCAGCATGAGAAGCTTCTTCCCCCTCCCTTCTGGCTCTCAGGGTTCAGAAACATACAGGTGGCCCTGCAGCTGGGTGCCCAGCAGGTGCGAGGCAGGCAGGGAGCTGGATGAGGCACTTGTGGCCGGATCCAGCCCACAGATAATCTTTTGACCAGCCCTGGAAAAGAGGTTGGAGCCAGTTTCTGCATTTATAGCAGGTAGCAGCAGCTGCCACTGTTTATCCTCCGAGAGGGTAAGTGCCCCACCCCTCCCTTTTCCCGAGCGGAGCAGATCTCTCTGCAGGGCCCAGGAAAGGGCTGTGCCTCCATGTGGATGCACAGCTTACAGGGAACCATGAACAGCAGCCCAGCTCAGTCCTCACTTGCAGTGGGTCTGGAACTACCCCTGCTGTGACTCTGCATTTAAACTGCAGTAGGAGATGGGCAGGCAGGCAACCTGGCTCAGTCCTGGCTCACGCTGGGTCTGGGACTTACCTGCACTGCAGCTCTGCATGTAAATAGTGTATTAGGAGTTCCCCGGGAAGACAACCGAGTTCAGTTCTGGCTCATGCGGGGTCCGAGAGCTCAGACACCATCCCCACTGGATAGGTATCTGATGATATAGAGGCAGCAGCACAGAGTGACAGGCAGCTGGTTTGTGAGGGGAGCTGTTTTTTAAACTGGCTCCCCTTTTGGACCAGCTCTCACTTGGTACCCCTCGCTGCTGCTTCTGATATGGAGGCAGCAGTGCAAAGTGGCAGGGGGTCCCCCGGGGGGGGGGGCCGCATTCAAGTAGCCGGAAAGAATGTATACAGTTACTTGACAATTCCATTAACCGATCGCTAACACCTCTATCCCAGGCTGTATCTTGCCCAGCCCGACTCTTCAGACTCAGAATTTAAAAAGTAAATAGCCACAGGCAGCCGCTCTCTGCACTGTCCCCCCAGCAAACAGCACCCGATTTAACCTGTATGTTAAAAACAATCTCATCATTTGCAGGGTCTGAGCCAACAGGGCTGATCCGGTGCTGCTCTGATTTCTGCCCAGGATTTGGTGTCAGACCAGAGTCACTGCTGCCCAATCCTAACAAGGAGCGGAACTGGGAGTGAGTTCGGTGTAGATGCAAGTTCGGGGAGTGAGTTCGGTGTAGATGCGAGTTCGGTGACAGTCGGTGTTTGGTTTTCGTTCTAGTGCAACTCACCCCAAATAGTTCAGTTCCCAGCAGTGCCCCAGGGTGTGGGGGGAGGGGTTGGGAGTAGGTTCTGGGACTGGCTACAGTGGGGGACTGAATTTGGAGTGTGGGGCCTGCAGCAGTTGCTAGGTGGAGGTAGGATGGACTAAGAAAAGCCATAATTTTTTTTTCTAACTTCAGATCAGTTAAAAACCCTGGTTCCCTGGTCTGGTTCAGATCTGGCGAGTCCAGCTGGGCCAATGGAATCCGCAGCTACTGAGCTGTCCCTGGGAGCTTCAGAGAAGCCCAGCGGGCTCAGGCATGTGAGGAGGGGTCCCTGCTTGTTGAGCAGGCAGAGGAGGCTGGTGTCTGTCTAAAGTCAGGTTACAGGGCCCTACAGCAGGCTGAGTTTCCTGGGTCAGATGCTGCTGCCTGTGATGACATGATCTGGGAGCCCAGGTTGAGCAGCGGGTCTGTAGCAGGGAGACATTCACTGCAGCCCCTCTGTGCCCAAGCCCGGGTGGGGACGTTTCCCGGTGCTTGTTACTTGCCCCTTGGGGCAGCCCCAGGCTCTGCTGGGATCAGCGCCAGGTGACGGGGAGAGAACTGGGGGACAAAGCTCAGGAGGGGCAGGAAAGTGACTCAGCCAAACCAGCATTTTTCAGCCTGAGTTTGTGCCAGAGGGGAGGGGGATTCCTGTGTGTCTACGGGTCCCAGAGCTGCTGCCTCAGTGACACAGCCAGGCTCCCACTGGAGAGCAAACGCCCATGGTCATCGGCAGGCACCATTGTTCCCAGTGGAGGGGAGAGGGCAGGAAGCAGGAAGGAGACAGGGGAGACCAGAAGGGGCAGCAGGCGCAGGAAGTAGGGAGAGAGGTTCCCAACCCCCCAACCTGCCCAGACCCATTTACTTTCTCACCCTGGGCAAATTGACTGTCCTGGCAGCAAGAGGCAGGGAAGGAAAAGTCAGTTCCTGCTCCTCCTAGCCCCCATGCAACACGGTGGGGTGGGGGGTTGCTGTCCTCAGGGACAAGGTCGGGGAATCCCCCAGAGGGGCAGGTTTGGAACTTCTGCTCTTTTCTAGTGTCTGTCTCAGAGACTCTGTCCCAGGGAGGGTATAAAAGTGCCTGGTGGGCTCAGCCCTGGAGGGAGGGGCCAGGTCTGTGTTGTAACATCACAACTGAGGGTGTCACAGCATGGTGGGTCCGAGAGCGGCTGTCTGCAGGGAGGGAGCCTGGGGGAACTGGGGTGTGAGATGGATCTAGCCCCTTTTGGAAACCTCCCCAGTCGCCCCTCTTGCCCTGACAGGCTGAAGACTCACGTCTCCACTTTGCTCCGGATCGTCCCATCTTGCAGGATGCAGGGCAGGGAAATGGCTGTGGTGGAGCTGACTCAGGTAGGGGATTGTGTGGGGAGCTGCAGGGGGGGCTATTGCAGAGAGGGAGGGGCAGGGAATACACAGGGTGAGCCAGGGAGGGGACAGAGTGGGTAAACTTGCTGGGACTTGCTCAGCCTAGGGCTTGATGGTCTGAACAGGCCCATTGGGAGGGGGGTGAATGGTCTCCCATTTCTGAAAGAGGAAACTCCACGGACAGGGCTGGGAAAACTGGCCAGAGCCTCCATTGCTCTATCAATGGCTACTAGCCAGAATGTGTGCGGAGGGTGTCCCGAGCCTCTGTTTGCCAGACGCTGGGTATGGGTGACGGGGTGGATCACTGGGTGATTCCGTGTTCTGTTCATTCCCTTAGGGGCACCTGCATTGGTCACTGTGGGTAGACAGGACACTGGGCTGGAGGGGCCTTTGGTCTGACCCAGCCTGGTCGTTCCTGTTGCTGTTTCTCACACTTGAGACAGAGCTCACTAGCCAGAGGCTGCCATGAACTAGGACGGAGCTGGGATTCCTGTCCCTGTGGCCTATGTAGAGCTCTGCTCCCACCTCAGCCTGTGGCTGGAAGGGGGGTGACTGAAAAGACCCTGCCCTGCTCCATCTGCTGGGAGGCACAAGGAGTTCTCCCCTCTCTCTCCCTGGAGCATCCTGGCCTCTCTGGGCAGGGTGGGGTGGGATTCTGCTCCTTGTGGCCCCTCCATTGTGACCAGTGGGGTTGTGGCTGGGGCAGCAGGCGCTGAGAGGGGGGCTCTGTTTTTTCAGATGCTGGTGACTTTCGAGGAGGTGGCTGTGTATTTCACCGCAGGGCAGGGGGCGCTGCTGAATCCTGTGCAGAGAGCCATCTACGAGGACATCATGCAGGAGAACTATGAGACAGTGGCCTCGCTGGGTAAAGATTCCTGTGCTCTCAGCTATCAAAGCCCTGGGGCTGGCTTTTCTGAATCGGGTCAGGTTCTTCCCTGATCAGTTAGGCTATGTCTACACTGCACTCTAAACTCAAAATAAGAGTTTGTTTTGAGTTTATTTTGAAATAGGCTATTTCGAAATTTGGTCTGGTCTGCACAGCACCAAATTTCGAGATAAAGTGCTATTTCGAGTCATCCTTTAACCTTCCTGAAATGAGGGTTACTGGGATACCGAAATAGTGCACCCATTACTTAGAAAAATAGTTTGAAATAACAGATGGCTTGTGAAGATTGGTATCCTGAAATAACACTGCAGGGTAAACATACCCTTAGATAAGAGGGGGGTGGGGCCCACAGCCCCCATGTGAGAGACACTTTCATCCCCATGCCCCCTTCTGGGGAACAGGGCAGTTAGACACCTAAGGAACATGGTATTTCATCCTCATCTCCCCAGCTTTCAGGGGCCAGAACCACAGTACTGTCCTGCCCACGTTATTTCTCCTGCACACACCGATCATTTGCCTTCATGGGACTGACTTCATCTCTGGAGGAGTCTGGGCTCCTCAGGTTTAGAAATATCCCAGAATTCAACCCCAAGGCTGTGTGTGTGTGTCAGCAAGTCCCCCAGAGCCCACCAATCATTTACAGTCCTAGGGTGTGTGTCTACACAGCAAAGTTATTTCATAATATCAGACAGCTTCTTCCAACTTCTGTAATCCTCATTCTCTGAAGAATACCTCCTCCTAAATAAGTCATGTGTAGACGCTCCACTTCTGTTATTTCAAAATAGCCCCTCATTGAGTCCATTCTAAGTTATTCTTCCTGGGGCTCTATATCAAGAAAACTTGTCTACATTAGGGAAGCCTGCCTCGTACTCATTTTGAGGTTTCCTTGCAGTGTAGACGTGCTATTTCGAAATAAACTATTTTGGAATAACTATTCTGGAATAGCTTATTCCAGATTAACTGTGCAGTGTAGATGTAGCCCTAGTGAGGGCATGATAACACCCTATCACCGAGGGGTGGGGAGTCACAGGCCCTTCATCCCCATCTGCAGCCAGACATGACTCTCAGCCAGCAGGTGAAACAAAATATTTAGTAGTCCACAGGGATACAGCGTAGAACAGACTTGTTAGCACAGGAACCAGGAGTAGTCAGTACAAGCCATCTTGGGGAGAAGAGGACCCAGAGTCAAAGGCCCTGCCCCCCATCTCTGCCCCCAAGACAGCAAGACACTTCCACCCTCCACAGCTCATTCCTGGCTGCAGCCAACCCCGACTCAAACCTTTCTCCAGTTTCCCAGGCGAAAGGTGTCACTTGGTCCCACTCCCCTCCCACACTCAGATTGCTGTGAGCCTGGGCCATTGTGAATATGTTGGCCTGAGCATCCTCCCTCAGCAAGTCACCCCCCCAGTTCCCATCCCCATCTAGATAGTGTTACAGTACTCAGGGAAACATGGGGTTACTACAGGACAGTACAAATCACATGCAACACAAGAAAGCAAACACAGTGAATACAATCCCGACATTGTCACATCACCACCCCATTCTGCCTCAGAAGTCTGCTGCCGCTAAAGATGTCTGAGTTACCCAGTCCCATGTAGGACGAGATTGAGATCAGGGAATGTTCCTTGTGACACACACACTGCCCAGACTCCATGCGCCTTCACCTTGCCTGATTTCACCCCTTTCAGGATTCTCCATTTCCAAACCTGACCTGATCTTCCGGCTGGAACGAGGGGAAGAGCCATGGGTCCCAGATCTCCAGCCATTCAAAGAAATGGAGATCCTGAGAGGCACCCCCACAGGTGAGGAGTCAGGGAAACTGGGACTAGGAAAAATCTGGGACTCCCAAAAATGAGCAGAGAGAGAGAGCCCTCACTTCTGCCCCATGTTTCCCATGTAGGGCTGCAGGAATCATCCTGGCAAATAGCTGTCAGCGGTCCCCAACCATCCTGTTAGTTGTCAGTAGTTTCCTCCCTTCGTTTCCTTCCCTGGGAGTGTTTGGGTGGGGTGTGAAGGAAGAATGCAATGTCTCAGTTTCCCGAGCTATTATTGTGCTGTGCTTTCTGTCTTAGGGACGTGAAGGACTAGTCGACTGTCTGATAAGTAAATGCTTATTGGATCATCAACAGACTAGTCACTTCCTCCACCCCTTGCTGCCTCTGTCACAAGGTTGGGAGAGTGGGGGTACTTCAAAGCAGCAATACCACTTGAAGTCTGGGGTCAGACTCTGGGCTCCACGCGGCACTGCTGCTTTGAAACGCTGCCTGCAGCCCAGGACCAGCTGGGGTGTCTCCAGGCTGCACGTGGTGTTTCAAAACAGCAGTACCGCATGGAGCCTGGGATCAGGTGGGGACTCCTCCTCTGATTCCATGCTCCGTGCGGTGCTGCTGGTTTCAAATGCTGCAGGGAGCCCGGCGTGTGGCTTCTCGTAGCATTTTAAAGTGGCAGCCCAGGGTCGGTGAGGGAGTCCCAAGCTGACGCCGGACTCCGTTTTTAAACCCCAAGACTAGGTCTGATCATTCCAGTGTTTGGAAGGGGCTGGATCTACAGTATTTCACTGCATCGAGTCCCATTTAGCATGTGAATCCATCTTATCTCAAGCAGCGAAGAGCTGCCTTGTTCAGTTCCTGGTCAACATTGTGCCATTCGGATCACAGTCCTGGGAAGAAGCCCTGAAATTTTCCCATCTTAGGGGTTAGATTAGTGGCCTTCCACCTCTTTAAATACAAGATCACTTTTTCAATTTAAGTGCAATGTAAGATCTACCTTAAACCCAGATGCCCTCTCCTGCTTCCTTCCTGCCACTTCTTTGAGGTCCTTCAGTTCCTGGTCAACATTGTGCCATTCGGATCACAGTCCTGGGAAGAAGCCCTGAAATTTTCCCATCTTAGGGGTTAGATTAGTGGCCTTCCACCTCTTTAAATACAAGATCACTTTTTCAATTTAAGTGCAATGTAAGATCTACCTTAAACCCAGATGCCCTCTCCTGCTTCCTTCCTGCCACTTCTTTGAGGTCCTGATGCTGATCCACCCCTTTTCTGAGGCCTCATCCTGCTCACTCCATGCTCCTTCCTCCCCCATCCTCGCTCTCTTTCACCAGGCTCGGTAGGGGATTAGGGTGCAGGCTTTGGTCTTGGGCCACGGGCTTTGGAGTATGGGAGGGGCTCTGGGCTTAGCCCGGGGCAGGGGATTGGGGTCCAGGAGGAGTTTCAGGGTGCTAGTTGTGGGAAGGAGTTTGGGTGCAGGGGAATTTATATCTGGGATAGGAGGTTAGGTGCAGGACGAGGTTCAGGGCTGGGACGGGTTGAGGAAGCAGGCTCTGGTTGGACACCGTTTAACTGAGATGGCTTCCGGGTGGTGAAGCAGTGGGGTTAAGGCAGACTTGCTCCTGCCCTGGCCCTGAACCACTCCTGAAAGCAGCTGGCATGTACAGCAATGGTTGCATGGCACCATGTGCTGCCCCTCATCTTTAGGCACTGAGCCCACAGCTTCTACTGGCCACGGTTCCCCGTTATTGATCAATGGGAGCTGCAAGAGCGGTGTACTGCCACAACAGGGTAGGCATTTTAGAACTCAGTGCTCAATTAATTAAATTTAAGCGTGAGAGAGAAATGAAAGTTATGAAATGCACAGACCAGTCAAAAACCAAAACTAACCCACTTTGCAAGCAGTAACAGAAGTAACAGCAACCCACCACGTACCTGTTGGGTCGGGAGATGTGAGTGAAGGACAGAATGACAGACCCACACAGGCTGTGTCTACACTGGGCCACTTTTCCGGAATAAGCTGCGAGCTGTCTACACTGGCCCCTTGAATTTCCGGAAAAGCAGTGACGATTTACTGTAAGAAATCTGCTGCTTTTCCGGAAAAACTGTGCTGCTCCCACTCGGGCAAAAGTCCTTTTTCCGGAAAACTGTTCCGGAAAAGGGCCAATGTAGACAGCACAGTAGTCTTTTCCGCAAAAAAGTCCCGATCGCGAAAATGACAATCGGGGCTTTTTTCCGGAAAAGCGCATCTACATTGGCCATGGACGCTTTTCTGGAAAAAGGGCGTTGACTTTTTCCGGAAATACTTATAATGGAAAACTGTTCCGTTTTAAGCATTTCCGGAAAAAGGTGCCAGTGTAGAGACAGCCACAGTGTGTGAGACAGAGATTTGCATTGCCAGGCTCCCTCCATCCCCTTCTTCCTGTGGGGAGAGGAGGGACACCCTGACATCAGTGACCCTTCTCCTCCCTCTCACACTCTGCACAGCAAGCAAGAAGCTCCCGGAGGGCAGCTCCAAAGCAGAAGGCAGGAGCAGCATGACAGCAGGTGGAGAGGCAAATGAAGTGCCAGCTCTTGATAGCTTCCAGGCCAAACCAGTCAGGATCACCTGTCAGAGGCTCCAGGATCTACCGGTAGACCCCGATCCACTGGTTGGTGACCACTGGGTTAGATTAAACTCTTGCTGAAGACACTGCTCTGTTTAATCTGACGTAGGCTGCTTTTTTAATAGCACTGTAGTTTTTTGTTTACACATGTACATATTCACATTCTCTTGTTTTTGCATCAACTAGAAACGTGTACCATAGTAAACAGTCTATTTTCCATTTTTAGATTGCTATCTAAGATGGAGAAAAATAACTCAAAGTGAAAACAATTGCTATGTAAAGTATCAAAAAGGAAGTAACTACAGAAGGCAAGGAAAGTCATTGGAAAGGAGCTGAAGTGTTCCCTTTTATTTCTTGCATGCAGCAAAACTGTGTAACAGGAAATTGACAAAGCAAAAATCCATAACAATATCCAGTTAAAATCACTATCAACCATTATATGAGTAAAGAGAAATATTTTCCCAGACTTATTTAATTTGGAGACGTGAAATATTGTCCAGCACCATATATTGGTTACAGAAAATTTAGGGTTTAAAATACGTTTCTGATGATAAATTTTCACATAATAAATTTTGGTATAGGCACAGAAACTGATTTTCACCATTTTAACCTAATTTCCATATGCACTCAGATTAATAGTTTGGTAACAGTTCCAAGTTGTCTAGTTTTAAATCATTTCCCAAGAGATGCAGGAGACAAAATGATCCGGTTGGACATGCTCTAACACATTGGTGTATGAGCAGATGGAAGAGAAGTGTCTATAAAGTAGGAATTCAAAGGGGGCATTTCCCCAGAACCTGGGATCAGCTGGGGAGATCACTTCCCCGGGCTCCACGGCATCTGCCCCTTTGAAACACAAGAGGCAACATTTTAAAGGGGCAGCCATGGAGCAGATGGAAGAAAAGAGTCTATAAAACATCTTATTTTTAAAGAAGTGTGGGTTTTGCTTTATTTTATTGCCATTAAATATGTCAATGTACAATCAACACTCAAGATGACTCAGATTTTCAGGCATTTTGGCACCCCTCCAATATTTTTCCACTTCACTGGGCCCAAAAAATCTTTGGATTTCTGAAAGTAACGGGTAAAAATCTAACAGCTTTCTGCAACTCTTCCAAGAAAGAAATTTCACTCACTGTTTTCTTTTTAATATTGGTTGGGGTGGGAGGGTGTTTGTTTTTGTAAATACTCACAGTAAAACAAGTGTAAGAGAAGCATAATCACTTTTTCTTGCTTATAGCCTGGTCCAAAAACCTGTTGAAAAGGTCTGTCAAGCAGCCAAAATGCTACCAAAAGCCAAAAATGTAGTAAGAAAATATCCCAGCACCAAGATGGATGCGATGGGGGTAATGTGAGTCTGGGACTCTTCACTCGTACTCCAAAGTTTGTCTCTGTGCTCTCGGGCTGGTAACAAAACTGCCCTGCCTCTGCTCCCGCCCACCCCGCAGCACATGTCTCGGCTGACATGTCCTGAGCAGGTGGGAGTGAAACGGGCAGCTGCAGGACTCGGTCTGACATGCAGGGTGGGAAATGTTCATTCCTGTGACAAGTGACACAAGCTGCCGTGGGGGCAGGGTTGCACGAAGGGCCCGGACAATTCCTGCCACAGCAAATCGGGGGAACAAGGGATGAGGCTGGAAACACTCGTTACCGTCCCTGCGTCCCTACATGTGAACAACACCCCGACCCCAGGTGCATGCTGGGCACTGGTGGGGAGGGGAGGGCTCACCCCCGCAGTGGTGCACAATAGTGGCCTACACACACACACACGCAACTCACTCCACTCACTGATGGAAAGGCTGGGTGAGGCCGTACCACTCAAGTCCACCTGCCCCACCCCTGCATGCGGCAGACCCCCACGCCCAGGTGTCCCTCAACTCAGGTCCTCTGATTCCTCCTGCCCCTCCCTCCCTCATTTCCCAGGAGCAGCAGCACAGCGAGTAACAGCACCAATAGTTCCCTCAGGGCCCGTGATGCATACGCAGTGACCACAACAAGGGCTGCTGCCTTCCAGTGGCAGCGTGGGGGGCGGGGCCCGAGCAGAGGCAGGGAGTGACTGGCAGGGGGAAGGGCATGCACTGAAAACAACATGCTCAGGGGATGGTCCAGGCAGCACTTCACTGCCAGGTGAGGGGCACTCACCTGTGAACAGGGCAGGATGCGGGGAAATGTTTTAGCTGCAGCCCCTGCAAATCCACCAGGCCAAGCCTGGCTTTAGGACAGGGGTGGGCACTCCAAGATTTTGGAAAGTGGTTGAGGGCCGTACTCTTTTGTGATATTAATGGAGACGTGGGGCCTAGGATAGAGGTTGGGTGCAGAAGGGAGCTTGGGGTAAGGGACTGGGGTGCACCAGGGGGACTGGAGTCTGGGAGGGAGTTGGGATGAGGCAGGCAGTTGTGACCTAGGGCAGGGGACTGGAGTGCAGGGGTTTGGGATGTGACCTAGGATAGGAGGGGATTGTAATTAGGGCAGGAGATTGGAAGGCCAGATCTGGGAGGGGGTGTGGATGTAAGAGGGGGGCAGGGTTTGGGTATGTTGACTGGGGGGCAGAGAGTTGGGGCAGGAAAGGGCTGGGGTACCAGATGCAGGCTGTGGCCAAGAGACTTACCTGCCAGCTACCAAACTAGCCTGCCTGCCTGCAGAGCTTAAAATGTTTCTCAGCAGCTTGACTGGTCATATGCTTCCTGAAAACCTGAGCTTTAGAGAGAGGGCGTGATTCTTGTTGACTGTCTGTTACTTCAGCAAGCCGCTTGCATTGGCTGGTTTCTGCCAGAATCTGGCCAATGGGAATGTGCTCAGGGCGAGGTGGCTCCTAAAACTTCCCCCCTCCTCTCCACTTTCAAAACAGAAATGGAGCCCTGGGCAGCCGCTTTTGGGTACGTCCCACGGGGCTGTGGGGAAAGCTGGGGAACCTGCCTCAGACTCCCCGCAGTCTCTGCCAGCCAGATTTGCTGGCTTGGAGGGCCAGATCCAGCCCGTGGGCAGTATTTTGCCTAGGCCTGGCTTTAGGGTCTATAGAATGCCTGTTCAATTTCTGTGCGTGCTTAAAGCTGAGTGGCTCATGCTGTAAAACATGAGCAGGGAACCTTTGGCCTGGAAGTCTGAACATGGCCCCTGGCTTACCTGGATCTGGCCCCTGAAGCTCAGGGAACCCCCGATATTGGGGAGCCTGCTCTGGTCCCCAACCCAAAAAAGGTTCCCTTTTTAACCCCTTTTCAAATGCAGCCAGAAAAAGCTTACACTTAGCAATGTCTGGACTGCAACAAAGCTAAGCATCTAAGGAATACGTCCAAAAAAGCGAACATGTTCTTTCACCATCTTTTAAACCTCATTTCAGGAGGAAGAAGGGATGGCTCGAAAGAGAAGGTTTTTTTCGAAACTTGGTGCTGTGGGGAAATAGAGCTTTGTGCCTGGTTAGCTGGGCTAAGTGTAATGGCTTGTGTCACAGTCAGACTGCAGGGCTAACATTCCTCTTGGATATGGTGAATCGATAAATATTAGGGTCTCATCCCGCAAACACTCACCACACGTGTTTAATAATAAACATTTGACTGGCAGTAACTTCACTTCATCTCTGTTGCGGGGAGAGGTTATCAAGTCTCTGTTGGTTTAGTCCTTATGAAAGGGCCTGAGTCTGTGCTACAAATATATGAAGGAAAACGAGGTATTTTAGCTGCAGGAACCTGAATTTAGATACCTGTGCAGGCACCATAATTAGTGGCTTGTTTCTCAAAAACAGAGGGTATGTCTAGACTACATGCCTCTGGCGACAGAGGCATGTAGATTAGGCTACCCGGCATAGGGAAATGAAGCCGGGATTTAAATAATTGCGGCTTCATTTAAATTTAAATGGCTGCCGCGCTATGCAGACCAGCTGGTGATCAGCTGTTTGTTGGCAGATCAGGGCAGTCTAGGTGCGCAGCGGTCAACAAGGAAGCCTTTGTCAACCAGCGCAAGTGTGCCTTGTGAAACCAGTCTAGACATACCCTGAGTGCTCAGAATTGAATCCCATTGTTGCAGGCGCAGTAATGTTGAAACACAAACCAGATATTGAGAGAGATGAATGTGGATTTTGGATCTAACTCGTGTGTGGTCTTTATGAAGTATCTAGACTCAACATTTGCCCACAAGGGCAGAGTCTAGCATATGTGGCACCAGGGACAGAGTATGGGCAGAATGGGGGTGTAGAAAGGAATAAAGACCTTTCTGAAATGTCTCCAATTGCCCTTCTCCCCCCCAACAGGCTGCAGAACACCCATGTGTGTCTCCAGCTCAGCCCCCAGCCTGCAGAGCCAGGGACAGGAAATGACTGTGTCGGAACCGGTGACCTTCGAGGAGGTGGCGCTGTATTTCTCTGAGGAGGAATGGGCTCTGCTGGACGCGGGCCAGAGAGCCCTCTACAGGGATGTGATGAAGGAGAATTATGAGGCTGTGAGGTGGCTGGGTAAGGATTCCTGCCCCCTTGGGCATCAGAAGCTGGGTGGGCTCTGGAGCAGCTGGTCTGGGTTTGGTTCAGGGTCCGTCATTGCCTCCACCCCCAATGTGAGAGTATCTACCCCAATAATCCTGGCTCCTGTGTGAGACCGTTCCCTCCATGCCCCCTCCCAGGAGAAGCAGATTAAGTAAGATAACAATGGTGCTGCTCTTCCCACAGCCAAGGTTTCCATGGGCTTCCCACCATCTTGCCCATGTGCCTTGGCCGGAGGTGTGAGTGGAAGGGCCCAGGCAAGAACGGCAGGTACCAGAGTTGTGGGGCTGGGTTTGGCTGCTCTTAGTTTCTGCAGGGTCTCCTTGTGCCAGTGGGCTGAGTCCCTGGAAGGAAGGCGTAGGCTCAGAGTGCTTTCCTGCCCCTGGTAAAGTCTGTGCAGCTCAGAGGGGCATCAAATGGCAGGCCTGACTGACCACAAGAGAGAGGCTGGGAAACCACACAAAGGCTGCTGCTGGGGAGCTGAGTTGGAGGAACACCCTGCGGAAGCGGCAGCTGTTGTGGGCAGCTGGCATGGCCTGCACAGGCAGTCAGCATCAGGAGCATGAAGCTTAGGCAGTGTTCGAAGGAACCAGCCAAGTGTTCGTTTTGCTGCTGGGACAACTTCACTTGCCTCCTTCTGGCCCAAGTAGAGCATCTGAGCCAAAGAGCAGGGTGAGCCAAGCCCCCCAGTCAGGAGCTTTGTGAACGGAGACCTTGGGCACCTAGAGCTCTGCTGGGTCCTTTCTCTCCAAGTCCTAGTGCCCTGCCATATGGCAGCTGCAGTCTGAGCCCTGCCTGGGGGCCTCGGTGTCAGACCTTCTAGCCCTCACTAGAGCTCCCCTTCTGAGTGGTGTGTTCCTGTCCTGTCCTGGGGCGGGGGGGATGGAACGGGCTGAGAGAGAGACTTAGTTGTACTTTAGAGAGTGCAGCAGAGCACTCAGTTCCCTTGGGGAATCAGCTGGGCCATTCCAGAGGCAGAGGGGATGCACCTTTACTGCAGGTGAGTGTGTCCTAGGCTCTTGTACCAGCCAGATCCCTGTCTCTGCAGGGTGGGGAAGGTACCTCTCTGGGAGGGCGACTTGGATCCTGACTCTGGAAGCGGTAATGGCACTGACCTTAATAAACAAGATGAACACTTTTAATTGCTCCCCAAACAGGATTTCCTGTCTCCAAAGCTCATGTGATCTTCTGGCTGGAGCAGGGGGAGGAACTGCAGATCCCAGATCTCCAGGGCTGTGAGAGAGGAGAGATCATCAATGACAGTCACACAGATGAACAATCAGCTAAACTGACTCAGAATCTAATTTGGGTGTCCTCATAGCAGATTTCAGTTGTGCATTTTCATCAAGTCTGACTGACCCTTCAGCCTTTCTTGAACACCAGTCAGAAGGTGCTGGGTGGGCAAAAGGGTTTTGGGGAAGGAGGGTAAACTCAGCTTTTGATTATTCAATCTTTCCAGCCATTCTTGGAGCATGGTCCCCCTTTTCTATTTCTCATTTATAGGTTTCTTTCAGCTCAGCAAAGTGAATGATTTCTGTCTGGATTCTCTTTCCCAACAGATAATGGGAGGCTGAATGAGAACCATGACAAAAGTCTTCAGAATGAAGGACCAGAGCAAATGGCTCCATGTGGGATGATGTTGGGAATATCTGAAGGGCATGTTTCTCAGAGTCCTAAGCAAGGAGAGACCTGTAAGAGACAGCATAGCCCACAAAGGCAGCAGGAAAGCCATCCAGGAGGGGGACAGGATAATTCCAGTTACAGAAGCAGGAGGTTGAAAACAAACGCAGAAATTGTTCAACAGAAAATCCCCCATCAACAGTCACCCTGTGCTTGCAGTCACTGTGCAACTCTTATTAAACATGGAAGAGCCTACACAGGAGAGAAATCCTTCAGCTGCTCTGACTGTGGGAAAACCTTCCATCAGAGATCACAGGTTGTTAGACACAGGAGAACCCACACAGGGGAGAAACCCATAATGTGCTCTGACTGTGGAGAAAGCATTACTCATAATTCAAACCTTGTTAAACATGGAAAGACCCATGCAGGAAAGAAACCTTTCAACTGCTCTGACTGTGGGAAAAGCTTCAGTCAGAGGTCACTCCTTGTTAAGCATAGGAGAACTCACACAGGAGAGAGACCCTTTAGCTGCTCTGACTGTAGGAAAAGCTTCAGTCAGAAGTGTCTCCTTGTTAAGCATAGGAGAACCCACACAGGAGAGAAACCCTTCAGCTGCTCTGACTGTGGGAAAAGCTTCAGTCAGAGGTCACTCCTTGTTAAGCATAGGAGAACTCACACAGGAGAGAGACCCTTTAGCTGCTCTGACTGTAGGAAAAGCTTCAGTCAGAAGTGTCTCCTTGTTAAGCATAGGAGAACCCACACAGGAGAGAAACCCTTCAGCTGCTCTGACTGTGGGAAAAGCTTCAGTCAGAGGTCACTCCTTGTTAAGCATAGGAGAACTCACACAGGAGAGAGACCCTTTAGCTGCTCTGACTGTAGGAAAAGCTTCAGTCAGAAGTGTCTCCTTGTTAAGCATAGGAGAACCCACACAGGAGAGAAACCCTTCAGCTGCTCTGACTGTGGGAAAAGCTTCAGTCAGAGGTCACTCCTTGTTAAGCATAGGAGAACTCACACAGGAGAGAGACCCTTTAGCTGCTCTGACTGTAGGAAAAGCTTCAGTCAGAAGTGTCTCCTTGTTAAGCATAGGAGAACCCACACAGGAGAGAAACCCTTCAGCTGCTCTGACTGTGGGAAAAGCTTCAGTCAGAGGTCACTCCTTGTTAAGCATAGGAGAACTCACACAGGAGAGAGACCCTTTAGCTGCTCTGACTAGTCGGAGTTCAAGCCTTGTTGTACATAGGAGAAGTCATACAGGGGAGAAACCCTTCAGCTGCTCTGACTGGGAAAAGCTTCAGTGAGAGTTCAATGCTTGTTGCACATAGGTAAATCCACATAGGGGAGAATCCAATAGTAGAGGTGGCAAAAAGTCACCCTGTGGGATGAATCCAGTCCTTTTAGGAGTTTGATCCTGCCCCCTAATGGGCAGGTGCTGCTAGGGAAGGAGCGTAGTGCTATCCGTCTTCCTGCCATGCAGCCACCGGAGAGGAAGCAGCAGTGGGACTGAGGCTCCACCATATGACCTGGGGTCAGCCCTGGAGGCTGGGGGCACCACTGACCCTGCATCTCTGCCCTCAAAGGCCGACTCATGGCCACAACCATGGACATGGCATGGTGCCTCTGGGGCTGGCTCTGGGCTGTGTGGCTGTGGCAATGGCAATGGCACCTCTGGCCTTGGGTGATGTGGCTGCAGCAGGGATGCTTTTGGCCTCCAGGGCTGAACCACCATTGCATGGCTGTGGCAGTGTTGTCTTCAGCCTGTGGTTTTCTCCGTGGCAGATGGGACAGTGTTGCTTCAGATATTGCTGTAAGGAGGCATGAAGCCAGGTAATGTTCCCCCTCATCTTCACCCCCCCATACCCAGGCACCCCCAGCTTGCTCTGCTACCCTCTCTTGTTCTTTGACCCTCCAAGAGGCCACACACTGCACCCTCCCTTGTTCCTGCTCCCTTCACCTAGCCAGGCACCCTACTCCCAGCATGCTTCTGCACCCCAGATCCCTCTCAGATCTTGCACCCCATCCCTATTCTACCTGCTGCCTCACACTGTATCCCTCATTTTTGTCCTTATCCCAGAGCCTAAGGGTGTTCTTAAAATCCACTAACTCCAGAACCCCAGAAAAGTAAATCTTGTCTATGGTAAGCTCCGAGCCTCATTCCCCCCTTCTTTTTCCCTTACCCTATGAGGCTGGGGCACCAGAGGAATGAGGTGCCTCATTTGGGGCCACATCTGTGAGTTTTGGGGCGGTTTGGAGTTTTTTTGCTTCTCACTTGTGTGGTCTCCAACTGATTTTTCTCTGGGTCAGTGATCCCCAACCGAAAAGTAGTTCTTCACTCTTGCCTTAAAGAAAACATTGAAGCCTTTTGTGTTAGTTGTAATGTTCATTTGAAATGAAATTTGAAAAAGTAACATGAGAAACTCAAAATGCTTAATCTGTTTTATAATATAAATTAAACCAATTTCCCCAGCTGCAGCAATAGCAAAATGACTCAGGTGTAATAGTATAATTAACTATGAGTGTCCATTAGCAACTGGAGTCCATGGAAAGGTGTGCATCGACCCACAGGGTGTGTGGTGGAGAGAGCCCCTCTCCTGGGAGAGTGGCATGGCCCTGGACAGGAGGGTTAAATCTTTGCACACCCCTTTGGAACAGTTGCTGACCCCTGTTGTAGTTCTTCTAAACTATTGGCTTAAAAATCCCCAGGCAGGGATGTTCATTGGAGATCACCTTATTCTGATTAGTCAGGGTGCAAAACTCTGGACTGATGGTGAGTTTCAAAATCAGGGCTTCTGGGTCCTATTCCTAGTGTTGTCCCAGACTGGGTATGTGACATTGTAGCCAGACACAAACCCCATCTTGTTGTCCCCCCCCAGAGAGCAAGAGAAAGGCAGTCAGCCTTTGATGCCCTGGGAACGCAGGTGTGCTGCCTGTCCCTGACTCTACCATAAACAGAAACCAGACAGTAAATGGGCTAGCTGACAACCCAGGGCCTCCCGTCGCCCTGATGGCTAGTACCAGTAATTGACACGCCTGCACTGTCCCAGGAGAGGAATCTTTGCCCATCACATACCAGAGGTGCCCATTGTCTGCATTATCCCAGGTGTGAATTATGCTTTGCACCCTTCATGGGAAACTTGGCATTCAAAGCCATTTTTCCTAATTGGCCACTTGAGACCAGGAAGAAGCCTACGTGACCCAAGGGATATAAAGAGGGGTTTAGTAGCCCACCCCATTTGAGCTCCAATCATCTATACCTGCTGGCTGGTGTTACCCACCAGCTCTGTGATTCTTGGGGAACCAGAACATGGTCACCTGTCAGCCTTGTGCTCTTGGGGAGTCAGGGAGTGACATTCATGGAAAACCATCCCCCTCCCTCAGGCCTCTGCTAGAATCAAAGACAAAGCAATGAAAAGGCCAGGGAAGACACACCTAAACTGCTTCAGACAAGGGTGATATAATTAAGGAAACACCCCAGCCTCATTTGCATTAAAGATGGAACAGAGGGACATCTCATTAGCATACAGAATGGAGAGCAGCTCTTCCAAGGCAGGAACCGCACTGAACTATGGGACACCGAAAGCAGAGAAGCACTGCCTGATGGGAAATCCCTGCTCCAGATGCTAATGAACCTAGGCCTGCTCACACCCAAATTAGTCATTATCAGACCAATTCTAGTAACGATCCTATTGACATCTAAAATACTGAAACTGCCAAGTTGCATTGTGAGCTCGTTCAAGGAACATCACCCATAACCAGGGGTGATCAGTCTCTATTGTCTCTCCTCTTTCTCTTTGAACTATCTCTATAAAACTCCTATCCTTGCCCCAAGAAAACTGTTCTGATACCTGGACTTAAACTGCATCAGTTCCATTGAGACTTCTTCATCTCCTGTCTGATCGTGCTGGGGGCTCTGTCCTGCTTTTCTCCTGCCCTCTGGACCCCCGGCTACCATCATCATCTGGGAACCCCGATCAGTGCAAGCTCCGTGGAGTGGTGAGGTCTCTCTCTCTCTCTCTCTCTCTTTCTCTCTCAACTATCTCTCTAAGCATAGCCTCCTGACCCTGCCCTGTGTAAACTGTTATATGGTTACCTAACATTTGTAATCTGCTTCAATTTAGATCTAATATTGTAATTGTTAGATTTAATATTGTAACTGTTTGATATCTATTCACTACTCAGAAATAAATCACTTTCATTGTTAAACTGGTTGCTTCTCTCTCTTTCTTTCTCTTTTGCTCACTCTTCCTTAAGGGGTGTTGTTTTGGCTTCCCCATTCACTCTGCAACAACGCTTCTTGTACCCAAGCAAAAGATCCCTGTAGTGCCCAAAATCCTGTGGGGTTTGCTCATCGTGTGGTTTACCAGTGAATGACTGTGGTGTGAAAGTGGGGATAGGGGGTGCTGAACCTGGGGGCTTATGAGGATGGCAGCTTAAAGTGCTGTTTAATCCAGCCCACGGAGTCCAAAGGCACATGAGGGTGCAGTGTGGCATTGCTGTGAAACCCAGCCAGCTGAGTCCAGGGACATATGAGGGGGTCAGCTTGTGAGTGCTGAGTACCCAGTCCTCTCAGACGTGCTCTGATTAGTGGGTGTGAGTGTCTGTGTGTGTTGCTAAGGTGGGAAGAACCCCATCCTGAGGAACCTAGTTCCTGCAGGAGAGCTCCAGTGGGAGGGGGAATTGGCAGCAGGGAGAATTCAGCTCCATATGAGAGCCCAAGTAAGCACCAACAGCACACTGATAGAACTGTTAACCTTCCCCCAGTCCCATAAGGATAACCCTGATAAATGAGCATACCCCAGAGTATTGGGCAAATCTGGAAACATATTAGTGGGTTAATACATTACACAGATTCTAAAATATTACATGCAAATACAAATACATACATACCTATTCTGATAATTGTTAGTTTCCAAATTCCTATTCAATGTTTCAGAGAAGTTAGCTACAAGAAACTCTTTATTCAAAACAGATCTGGTATTCATTATTAACCAAGAAAATAGGTGCAAATTTGGCTTAATGAGGAGAGCTCCTTGAGCAGACATTAATGACAGTAGTAGCATTTAACAACTAAGTTTACCCTGTAACAATAAAATAGTAACTGTTTAAGCTTTAACCTGACTCCTTTAGTTGCTGTAACAGAACCAAGTACAATTTCAAAGAACTTCAGCCGGTCATAAGGGACTCACTGCCCTGACCGTCGGCTGACAGACGTCAGACAAGGCCCTTTGCCTTTCTCAGCCTTTGTGCCTCCCTTTGTCAGTTGGATGTAATGATCTTCTGCCTGCCTGCCCATTGTGGGGGCAGCTGGGGAGCTGTAAGGAGACATGTAAGGGTGTTGCTAGCAGTACTGAATAATAAGTGTCCTATCACCTGGAGTCAGTACAGATACTGGGGTGTGTGTGCAGTAGAGCCCCGTTCTTTCCCCCTTCCATTGTACAGCATCTCATGTGAACCTGCCAACCAGTGCACACAGGACCAGAAGCAGGCAAGTCTTTGTGGCCACTAGATGGCTCTGCAACCTCCCAATATCCTGGTTATCTGGATATTTGATGATCTGATCTGGGCCTATCCTAATTTGACATGGCCAATGGGGTCTACCCTGTAAGAGCTGCTACAGCCAGAGCTGTTACTATTGTATTGTGTATTGGGACTACTGGCCTCTCACTAAAACTGATCGGGAGAGGGGTGGGTTAAATAGTCCCTAGCACCAACAGGTAGGGGAAGGGCTGATGGGAATCAGGGTCTTTAAACTGATGACTGTCCCACGGCCAATGAGAGGAGGCCAAGGCTACAGGTCAGCATGAAGGACATGCAGGGCAGCTAATAAAGTAGCTAGGATGCAGGAGGTGGGTTATGTCATCAGTATGAGCTGCAATTTCTCAGACAGAGTGGGTTCAGACAGAGTGGGTCCGAGCTAGGGAGAGAGAGCAGAGACTGAGTTGAGCTGGGGAGCAGAGTCAGATGAGCCAGAGAGAGGCAGAAATCAGTCAGGCAGCATGACAGTGCTAGGCGCAGAAGCAGCCCAGACATCTCACCTCTGTGGGGAGTAGGCTGCAGGCACCAGAGCAGGGAGAGAAGCAGCCCAGAGGCCAGGAGACAAAGCAGCATCTAGCAGAGTGAGTCTGGGATTGGAGCAATTCAGAGCTGGGTGCTGTGAGCAGCTGGGCAGAGCGAGGGGGGATCCTGGGCTGAGGGCCTGGCACTGGGAGATCCCAC